GTACTCTCCTGATACGGATGACGGATCCGTATCGACGGCGATTGAATCTAAGCCGCCTGCCAAGCGTGGCATGGACGATGCTTTGCGTCGCAGCATCTTTGGTTAATCTGATTCATCAGATGAACCATCGCCGAAGCGAAGGCGCCCAAGAAGACCCTTGTCGATGCCCACCATCGGGAGCACAAGGCTCTTTGCGAGATGCTTGAGCGCAAGGGCGTTCTTCATCGGAAGAAGCAGCGTACTGATGGTACGGCTTAAGCCGACCAACGTAAAACGTGGAATGCGTGCGCATCTTACGTGGTAACTCGATCGTGTATGCATTGCCTAGGCGGTGCAATACAAGAAATGGGCCGATGCACTTGGGTAGTAGTTTACTGCTACCCAAGTTAGTCACTACATGCTTTGGTAGATTAACCGTAGAAAGTAGGACTAAGTCACCTTTATTAAATAAAAGAGTGTTTGCCCTTCCATTCTTGTCAGCGTTTTACTTTTTCTTATCCACGGCTTCGGCGATGGAGTCTTGCACAAAACGGACTACCGTTTCACGAGCCAGTATGAACTCATCTGATGACTCGTTAGCTTCAGTGCGCTGTGAGCGCACTGCAGCAACATCAATCTTTTCTTCAGTGAGGGCTTCCGCACTCTCACTGGCATCATCTTCTTCGATATCGATGTTGTCGGTATCGGCGTCAAACGCAACGACCTCATCGTTAGATCGTGATGAGCGTGAACCAAATCGTTTGATGCTCGCGTGAGTCCCTCCCCCCCCTTTAACCAGAGTTACACTCTAGTAAGGTGGGTACACGCGGATGGCGTAAGCCATTCACGTAAAACGGTGTATGTGTCGTGGACGCATACACCGAGTTGCTAATGGCAAACTCTACCATTGGCAAGAGCTCACTTCAACCCTTTAAAGGAGTGTACTTATCCTCGAAGTATCTCTTTGAGGACACGATTAGCACGTTCCGTCTGACCAACTGACTCTGGATGATCAGATGTCGACATCTTCAAGCGCGTTCCGAGTGATTTGAACACGGAACGCCAGAAATCAGCAGTAAATCGTGGATCTCCGTCTGATACGAGTTCACGGGGCAACCCATGAAGTCGGAAGATGGTGTCGATAAAGACACAAGCACAGCCACTCGCCGTGATTGACTCTGGCACAGCCACAAGGTGTACCATTTTGCTGAACCTGTCAACAAATACGAGAATGCCCGTATTCCCGCGTGCGTCTTTGGGTAACCCGATGACGAAATCCATTGAGATGGATTCCCAGCACTCTGCCGGACCCGGTAGAGGCTGTAAAGGTGCACGCAGTGAAGGACTTGACTTCACTCGTTGACAGACTTCGCATGCGCGAACATACTTTCGCACAAACTGATACTGGCGGGGCCAGTAAAAGTCTCGACTCACCGTGAGATACGTTTTCTCCCGGCCACGATGTCCTCCTGTAGGAGCATCGTGATACTCGAACATGATCCGCAAACGCAGATTAGTATCATCTGGGATGACAACACGTGGTGTGTCACCAGTAACGGCTGTATAATACATTAACCCGTTGCGAGTAGTGTATCGATCTGATTCAGATCGATACGCAGACGATAATTGATTCAACAATTCTCGGGATGGTTGGGAGAGATGTGTCAACAACTTCACAATCTCACCATCTTGGGCATATGCCCGCCTCACATCATCATACAACGTTGTAGATGGTACTGAGGACGTCATAACCGCAACAGTGACTGTCTCACTGTTGGGTTTCGCGACTGTTTCAAAGTCGGGACGACGTGAGAGTGCATCAGCGACGACATTAAGTCGTCCTGGTTTGTACTCGACCATAAAGTTGTATTCCGCAAAGAATGACAACCACCGCGCCATTCGTTGTGAAAGGTGCGGGCTGTTCACTGCCGTGCGTAATGACGCATGGTTAGTGTAAACAATGAAGGGTCTATCTCCTAATAGATAGACTCTGAACTTCGCGAGTGCATACTTCATGGCAAGGAGTTCCTTGTCATGAACTGGATAGTTCCGCTCAGCTGGTTGCAGCTGACGCGACTGATAGCAGACGACGCGTTCAACGCCTTCAAGATCGTACTGCATTAATGCACAGCCGATTGCGAAATCGCTGGCATCACAGACCACATGAAATGGCCTGTCCTGATCGGCTATTGCTAGGACTGGGGATTGTATCAAGCTCTGCTTGATACCCTCAAAGGAGCGCTGACATTCAGCGTTCCATAACCACCTCTCGTTCTTTTTCAACAAACGAGAGAGGTGCAAAGTCATCTCGGCGTAATTGCGTGAATACTTATGCAAATACGCCGCTAGCCCAAGGAATTTTCGAAGACCTTTGACATCAACCGGCACAGGCCAGTCGGTGATCGCCTTAATCTTTTCGGGATCAGGACGTACACCGTTCTTACCAACGATGCACCCAAGAAGTGGTATTTCGCTTGCTGCAAATATACACTTCTTGAGGTTAGCATACAATTGATGCTTTCGCATGATTGTAAGAACTTGTCGGACGTGGTACCTGTGAACCTCAACGTCTGACTTTCCATCCATAGCTCGACTATGGATGAATACGTCATCGAAATAACTCGGCGCGAATTCTCGTACTGGTCTCAACAGATGTGATACACATCTGTTGAACGTGGCAGGGGCATTACTAAGCCCTTGTGGCATTACTAGCCATTCCCAGAGCATGCCGCTAGGCGTGCTAACTGCGGTATAGGGTATATCCCGTTCCCGCATAAGGATTTGATAGAAGCCATCCATCAAATCCATGGACGAAAAGATGGTACTCTTTGACATACCATCAATGATTACGTCCTTCCTCGGTATCGGCGTCTGAGCCGGTACCGTTGCAGCGTTCAATTTGTTAAATGCATGCACTATCCGCCACCCTCCTGTTGCTTTTCGCACACAGAAGGTCGGAGAGCTATGTGGGGAAGTTGATTCCCTCACGTGGCCCGCAGCTAAACGATCGGCAAAGAACTTGTCGATCGCAAGTACTTGTTCACGAGGCAGTGGCCATTGCTTCATGACACAGTACTTCGAGCCTGGTTTAAGCTCGACCTCGTGTCGAATACCTTTGTCCTTCGGTAATTCGCACGGAACAGTTTCAGGGAATACATCCTTGAATTCAACCAAATCTTCGTAGAGAGGATTTTTCTTGAGCGATTCCCACGATTGGGAGTCATATCGCTCAATTCGTGCCTTTTTATCTAGGACACTCTCGTCCATAGATGAACTATTGAGAACTCTCTCGTTCTCAGTAAACACTGTTGCTGACCTTATGTCGGCTACACACTCGTCGTCAGCAACGAGTATGCAGATCTGCTTGACTTTGCCACTACGCAGATCACGCAAGAACCTTTTATGTTCGAGCGTTGGCAACTGAGTGATCTCCGAAGTCAACTTCGGAGGCGCAATCAGATCAATTGTATAAGCGCCTACACTTGATCCGTTATTGACTATGACATTCAATGTCTCTGTCATTTCCTGGGGACTTATTCCCTCAGGCTTCGAAGGACTTATTCCTTCGTCTTCCCGGGGACTTATTCCCGCGGGTTTCGGGGAACTTATTTCCGCCGTATTTGTTATATCGGGACTTATTCCCTTTACTTCCTCTAGCTGGGGTTGCGCAACCACAGCGAGATCCTCTACGAAAGACTCTCCAGTCGATCTAGGATTATCGTTTCGCTTAACCTGAGCGATCGATTGTTTCTCTTCTAGATGTTCCTCACTAGGGATACATCTTTGTCCCGGTCCACTCGACTTATTCGAGTGGTGGACCTTCGGCGCAGCCTGTGTTTCCTCACAGCCGCCGGAACTTTGCTCCGAAGTGTAACCGTTTGGTACACTAAGGTTTTGTGCAGTCGTACTAACGACCGTACCACAAGTGAGGCCATCGCACTCACTCGTGGTACATCCACACGCTTGTGGACGCTCCAAAACGTTCATCAGATGGCCATCTGATGAACAAGCGGCAGGCATCGTTACTGTCCGATGTTGCCAGTTTACCCGTGGTTCGTACCTTCTGAGCCACGGTATTCCAAGGATGACATCAAATTTGTCATCCAAATCCAACACGAAAAAGTCATCGTCATATTGGGTATCTTCTAGCGTATAGTGGATCTTCACTATATGCTTCATGACGGTTACGGATGCGCCTGTCGCAAGACGTACCGTCATCCTCGTAGGAGGTGTGTCACATTCACAAAATTTGAATTGACATCTTCTAGCGATTGGCGTCGCACAAAATTGTTGGACGCCCCATAATCGACTAGAGCTCGAAGGGACAACTTATTCGTCACTTCGAGTTTCAAGGTAATGAGTGAGACCTCATTACCTAGAGCAGCAACGCACAACGTTTGTGTGTTGGGAGCAACCTTCATCAAGAGGCCTACAAATTCTCTTGACGTTGCTGGACCAGTAGGGTGCTCCGCACCTACTGATCCTGTCCGTTTTTTTTACGGTCCATCCCGTTGTTGCGTCTTTGCACCAACAGCGGACCCTCGTCCTTGCCCCTTTCTCATGGGTGGACGGTCACTACGCCCAGTGTTGCGAGACACTGGACGAGGGGCACTACACTCGTAAGCGTAGTGTCCTGTCTTCTGACATCTGTTGCATTTCTGCCACTTCTTGTAGTCTGTAGAGCGAGCCTTCTCGCTCGCTACATAACAGAGTTCCATCGGCTCTGGACCTCCGCTGTCATATCGTCTCGGTGGACGATATGATGTCGAGCTGGCGCGAGCCTGTCTCAGACTGAAGTCTTCCTGATCCGCAATGGAAATGGCTTGTTCTAGTGAATCTAGTTCAAGTCGGAACAGGTGAGTCTTGACGGGACCATCCGCAAGACCCTTCACGCACACCGAAACCAACGTGTGTTCATCAACCGGGTTGGAACTTATACAACTCGTGAGATGTCGTATATGTTGCGCGTAAACGTGCACATCAAGCTTACCTTGTCTGGGCTTCAAGAGTTCAGTTCGAGCTCAGAACTCAGCTCTAGGCGGCTCAAACGTTTGTCTGAGTCGCGACTTGAAGACTTCCAACGACCCAAACGCATATGGGTCGTGCAACTTGAGCCCCAGTGCCCAAGTCTTGGCACGTCCTGCCAGATTTGACTGGGCAAATGCAACTTGCATATCCCCGTCGTCGATGCGACGCGCCCTTATGGCGTCATCCAATTCGACGAACCATCTCAAGACGGAGTCCTCTTCGACTCCCCTATACTTGGAGATGTCAATCTTCAAGGTTTCGGGTCGACGCGAGTGCATCGACCCACCAGCAGGAGCCTGCTGCTGTCTCAACAGTTCAAACTGTTGAGCACCCTGTTCTCTCAACAACTCTGCTTGTTGAGAACCTTGTTGGTGAAGCAAGGCTACTTTCTCGCGTTCGGCGTCAAGTTCATTTTGAATGAACTTGGCGATAGTAGCATGTTGGGCGTCTCTATTGAGAGCCTCTAGCATGACGCTAACAGCATGGATGCCCATGGTTGAACCCATCCGTTCAACCGCATCCCATTCGACATCGCTCAAATGGGAGTAGTCGTCCGCGTAGCGTGAAAGATTTGGTCATCTTCATCATCCAACATATTCATGTTGGATGTGAACGCGGTCCTTGGACAGACTACAAAGTGCTGCCAGGTGTAACGGTGCACCCTGAAGCTTGTACTGGTGACAGTACAAGCTACTTATTCTGATGACAGAATAAGGCGGTGCCTCGGAACTTCACGTACACTCGTACGTGCAGAGGAAGACGATAAGGAGAAGCGAGTACTTGGTTAGAGTGAAAAGTAGAACTGTATTTGTCATAGTTAATGTCTGTTAATAAATCACTATTTATCCTCATCTAACTATGTCTGAATACAAATGTGCATATCAGCTATCTGCTCACCACTCATTGCGTGCGTCTGTCGTGGCGTGTCTTCGTTGGTTGATACAATGGCCTATATAAACCAATTAGGAACTACTCGTAAGTGCTACAGAATATCTGTCCTTATGACAATATTCTGAGAATATAACTCTTATAGTTATATTCTATTACCAATTTCTTATAAATTGTTATGTAACGATTCACCCCGTTACACTTACCGTCTTGAGCTTGCCATCTTCTGGTGACAGCCTTTTCTCGTCATCCGATGCGTCCATTGATCATCCTGTCCGCGGCATAGTTTTGCCTTCCCGCTTGTGGTAATGTCGTCAAAGCATCTTCAGCATTTGAGAACCTCATGGCGTCTCACGAGACCTCGCCTGCAATGGCCGGCGACGCTGTCGTTGATACCAACGTGAACACCACGAAACGACGCGATCATGTGCGGACGCCTGAAACTGGTTCGCCGGCAGATGCATCGGATGGCAAAGGCGACGACGCGGTGGCCAGCTATGACGACCATCCTGGTATGACGCGTGTCAGCGAGAACGATGACAGCTCCGAAAGATCCCTAGACTTTTTCAGCGAGTCCGGTGGTAAACCAAATCATCGCATGCTTTGGTACGCCGCGGATTACGCCTGGTGTTTTTATGTGCAACACCAGACTCGGAATCAAACGCTTCACGAGCTGGAGCTGAATAAGAAGGAAGGTTGGTCCATCTTTAGACCTACTACGTTTTTCAACGAGGGCTATCTTGAGTACGTGACGAAGAAGTGCGCTTTTAGTTACAACAAGGACCAGACCGCTTGCGTCTAGACGCGTTTGTTGTCAGCCTTAAATATGCATCTCGACAAAATATCACGCTGACGTAAAAATGATTAATGACAATGGTAGACTTCTAATCTGATTCAGCTCTTCCTTACGTACACTCAGCTTCCCCAGTCACATTTTCTGGAGATTGGGGGAGGCTGTTAGTTATCGAAATATGGTGGCATTGTACGCAGGAAATAATACCAATTAAATTGCAGCGATCAAATAAGATTGTTTTGAAAGGAAACGCTAACCACCCCCAGGTTTTCGTTAACCACCCCCACCCCCTATATATTACCGTAATATATATACCCTCCATATTTTTTGATTGATTATAAATAAAATGTCATATTGCTAAATACTGAAAGCCAATTCCAACACAATATTTTTATCATGTAATCGCTTACACGCTATATTTTTCAATTGTTGAATAATTGGTTTTAGCACTTAAACACCGTAGTCTGTCATTCTCATGTGGCTCTGCTACCACCTCCTGAAACTACATACGATACGCTAGAGGAAGCCCGAAAGGCACTTAATGAACATGCAATAGCTCAAGGCTATGTCCTAACGACCGAGCGTACCAAGAAGGTGGGTAATAGGAAAGATGGTGCAATTAAACGTATTCTTCCATTATATACAGGGAAATAAAAATAAGCCAGTTGCTGTTAACGAAGTACCAGAAACGAGAACGAATAAGCGCTTAAGGGCTAGTAGAAGCACAGGGTGCCGTTTTGAAGCTGTCATTCAACGCATATATGAGCGCTGGCACGTTACAGTCATTAGAAAGAACCACAATCACGATGCATTTGATGAATCTTCTGCACATCCAAATGGTCTCGCGTTGAACGAAGAGGCTCGCGAGTGAGTTCTCTTATTGACTAGTGCTGGTGTCAAATCTGGTACTATTGTCGCTTCTCTCCGCAATGAAAGCAGCATAAATGTCACCGCCCAAGATATTTACAACGTCCGTAACAATGATCGCGCTCTGAAGCTACAAGGTAGAACACCTCTACAGTCACTGCTTGATGGACTTGTTACTTGAGGCGTAAAATATTATACTGCACGCGAAGAAGATGGACAGAAACTGTCACACCTTTTTGTTGTTTCTCCATCGGCCAAGGAGATTTGTTATAGATATACTGCCGGGGTAGTATGGCTTATAGACTCTACGTACAAGAATAACAGGTATGGGTTACCCTTGCTCCATATCGTCGGAGTTACCTGCATTGACTATACCTTTACTCTGGCATACTGCTTTATGCAAGCAATACGAGAGTCAAACTACGTCTGGGCGATACAAAAGCTACAACAGGAATTTTGCGAGATGGGTATCATTCCTAAGACGTTTATAACAGACCGAGAGCTGGACTTGATGGGCGCGATTGACATAGTCTTCCCGGATGTGAACGGGTTGCTTTGTCGCTGGCATATATCGAAAACATTTTGGCCAAACACAAGAAGTTCTTCACCACTATCGATGATTGGGAGGCCTTTTTTAAAAACTGGAACATCTTGGTGTCACAAAATCGAATTAAGACCTTCAAAGTGGATAAGTGGAAAAGTATGCGCGAAAGCTGGGAATTATCGCACCCGCAGGTCGTTCGATATTTCGAAGAAACTTGGCTGAGTTGGAAAGAGAAATTTGTGACCTGTTTTCTCCGTAACAAGCAGCATTATGGACATGTCACCACGTCTCGCGTGGAAAGTGCGCATGCTGCCCTGAAGCGCTAGATTGGATCCTCGACTGGCGATCTACTGTCTGTCAACAATGCTATAAAGCGAGCTTGCGATGGACAGCTGGCTCGTATCAAGCAACAGCACGCAAAAGAGCGAGCGACGTTTGACATGCGATTTGGTAGAATATTTACCGACGTCATGGGAAAGATCTCGGAAGCTGGCCTGCGCGCAGCCTTTCGCCAATACAAAAATCGATTTCACAATAATGTCGATGACAATGGAGCCGTCATTGGATGCCAAGGTACGTATAAAAGATTTCACAGCAAATTACATAATGTACAGCTCATATTCATTTCACGTTTTTGCAGGCTTGTTTAATGTCGGTGATGGGATATCCTTGCCGACATTACTTCTCCGCTCGACGCATATCGCTATCTCTTGATGATTTCGACAAACCTTGGTGACTGTTGCAGTCGCCCAGGATATTTCATCCACACAATGTGGTCAACTTGCCAACAGCATGGGATAGGTTGTCAACAGAGTAGTCGAATGCCGCCGGGAATAAAAAAAAGAGAGATCGTCGAACATGTTCTGGCGCTGCCCGATGACCTGCGTGATCCTGAGCAGATTAGGATTCGTGATAGGCCAGTCGGTGCCCTAAATCGTCATTTTGGAAGCACAGAGCGCGATCTATCGCTCTTCGAGCATGCAGAGGTCGCGCTGAATCCCCCAAGAGGCGTAAATGCAGCAATTGCAGTGAGTCAGGTCACAACTTTCGAACTTGCCGTAAAATAATAGCCCCAGACAAATCACGTGGAATCTATCAGTCGCAAGTAGGAGCAAATGGTAATTAGCGAATACATGGCGCCCTTCATCAAGTTTTTTTACTTTATTTGGATTTTGTCGTCTTATTACGGAAGTGATCAAGTCCAATGACATCCTGGGGCTAACGCTGATTTACCTTAAATCCACACCGTGTATTCTTTAACGACTCGAGATGATAATTGTATTTGCAGAATATTTGGCAATCACGAGGTTTAATCTGCCTTTAATGATGCTAGCGATCGAAGGTTATGCAAGGAGTGCAATTGTTGGTTACGAAGTTCCATTTAATCTGATTTAAGGGTTGCCAAGGGAGCTTACGAAGTAGACGTTTTTCAATGTACTGAAGCACTTTACGAGGTACGTGTTTATGTCAGAGTGTCGAGCTGAAGGCAGAAATTTTGAGACAATAGCGGCATCAAACGAACTTTTTTTTCTATTGCGGGGTGGATGATGTGGTGGCTACTTCAGGTCAACTAACTTATTTTTTAATGCTCAGCGATACGAAGCTGAAAATTGTGCGAAACTATTTTTCGGATGAAAGCGATCGCACGTGGGACTAAAGATATGTTTTGGGGGTTGCTATTACATTTAATCGCTTTGCAAGTCTGATCTCAATCATCGCTGAAACAATGCCGCTAATTAGCTAAAGGTTTGCCAGTGATGGACTGGTGCAACGTGTATTGGTCAACATCGATCGCACGAGCGACCCAAACTTGAATGCGATTCAGGAAGCTGAACGTGTGAAGCGAAAGAAAGATAGTTTATTACTGGATTATTTGCGCCCTATTACTGTCATCTGTGAGAGAAATGTTGCCGTTGATGGTACCTAAAAAATTAGATTTTATCTGACATGAAGTGCAACGAGCTCATGAACTTGTTTATAGCTACACCATTGACGAGATTATCCATAAAGCGGCATTTAGCGGGTATATATATTCGACAATCTTTTGAACGCGCTCACTCTCCTGAGCTTCTGCTACTATTCGTCTCTTTCGCTCTTCCAGCGTTTCACCATGATCTTCGTCTTCTGCTAGCCACAATACCAGCTTATATCAAACCGCAACTTATTCCATTAGAAGATTGCTCGCTCTTTTTTTTGTGGTTTTATTTCCTTCAGCGAAGCTTCACCGTGTCTCATTAGTTGCAATAATGTTGTCCCCAGGCTACAAGTCGTTACTGCCTTTGTCCAACCTACTAAAGAATATTGCAGGTTTCTGCATAGTTGATTGACTCTTCTGCGTTGTCTAGTTGCAAGATTTAATCGAGATGCCGCTGAACTTGAACTTCTTTAGTGTAACACCTCCA